AACTGACTGTAATTTTTGACAGGTAAGTTTATATACATAAATGTGCCTATATATCAGAATATTTTATATTTCTCTGAATCTATATATTATCTCAAAGAAAAAATTAAGAATAGAAAAAACTTGAATATATATACATACATATATATATTACTTTAGACTGACATTGCTTCATTTTTTATACAAGATTCTGCATTTATTATTTTTGTGCGTTAAGACTGTGCCTGAAGGCTTTCTTAATTTAGCAAAGAATTTAGAACACAATGCTAATAACTTTGCACTGTGTTCTAAATTTTTTGCTAAATTAAAATAATGTCAATAAATTTTGTTTTATATTTTTCAGTTGTAAAAATATAAAACGTTCATTTATTAAGTTGTAACAGTGGTATAATCACTGGTAATATATATTTAATGATAACAGATGTATAATATTAGGCTCGAAGAAGTTATTAGTGTAAATGGTTATAGGTGACTTGAAATTGTTGTCATATGAAAGAAAGAAATCTAGACATGATAAAGTTAATTGTCGTTGAAATATAAGAAATTTTGCTTGATGAACCAAAAACTTACTTGGCAGAGTTCAGTGTCAAGCGGTGTTGATGTCTATTATTTGACTTTACATTAGACACTTTAAAATAAAGCAAAGTATGAATTTTCCTATTTATAGTAACAAATAATAACAGTTTCAATTTTATTTTTTTTTTTTTTTTTTTTTTTTTTTTTTTTTTTTTGCAATCTTAAACATAATTGTGTTCTTTTTTTTTTAGTTGTCTTTGTCATCACTTGATTATTTTGCTTACTGTTGAAACATGGTTTTAATTTTGTAAATTTAATATAATGTGAAATTTACAATATTAATCATTTGTCAACAGTTAGAGAGAAGCTGGAAATTATTTAAGAAATGCTGGAAATTAACTTTTAGTTAAGGTAAAAATAATTTTGTTTATTGGTAGCATAATAAAACCAGTTACTGTTATTTATTGCATGACTTTTTTACTTTTTCTAACATGCTGTTTTTAAAACACTTCCTCTCTCTCTTAGATAAGACTTAAATAAGAATTAGTATTGAGAATTGTAGAAAGAGAATTGATTAAACTCTGTAATTACTGAGCTCTGATTAAACTCTGTAATTACTAAGCTCTTGCGTATTTCTTAATACTGCAATACACGATTCTCTGATTTGAGTTTAAGCGCTGCGCACGCATGTTAAATGACATGCGCAAACCTAGCGGGGGTAAACAAACCAAAAAGAATAAATATAAAAGTAGTTTGGTTGTAAATGTCTGAAATGGATAACGAAGATACAGTTTTATCAAATCAAATGACTTTACAGGATTTCAAAATAATGACAGTTCCCGACGGGCATTTCTTTTTAAAAGTTACGATCTAAATGTATTTTAAATGTCTTTTAAACGTCTTTTAAACATTAATGTTTAAAAGACGTTTAAAAGACATTTAAAACACATTCAGAACGTAACTTTTAAAAACAAATGCCCGTCGGGTTGTTTTCTATTAAACATCATTTTTGTTGTTTAAAAGTTTTATAGCAATTTCTATAGAAATTAATAGACATTTTATATAAATTTTATAGAGTTTCTATAGGCCATATGTTTCAAAAATTTAGAGAAATTCTACAGAACTTTTTTTCCCGGGATGTTGTCACTCCTCCACTGTAGTGAATCAGCGTGTCTATATATTTCTGGTTCTTCCAGATATTGGCTTAGCTGAGTGTCAATGCCTGTTGGTAATTGTTGTTCGTATGCTGTGCCACAAGCGGGCGTAGACTGAATAATTTCATCTATATATATTGCCATTGTAATGATGATAATGTATAAGAATTATCCAGCCGGGATTGTTTTGCTGGATTTTCTTTATTTTTTTCAATCTAAAAAGGTTTCTCCTCAATGCCTTTGAAACGCTTATCTAATGAGTTGATTAGGATTGACTTCATAGTCTTTACACCTGCATTATTGCAGAATATCGTGTGTCTTCTCTTAAGAATTTTTTGTTGCGTTCTTGTTTGAAATTAGGCTTAGCTAATTAAATTGTAAAAAAATGTAAATACAGATACCAAAACAAACATGAAGTTCAAAAATTAAATATTATGTATACATGTTATCGCGGGTAAGAAAGATGTAATAAACATCCAGAAATCCGGCCAAAATTATGCCGGATTTGCTAACATTTTGCCGGAGCCGGATTTGGGCCGGATTTGTAAAAATGGCCGGATTTCGGCCGGAGCAGGAGCCGGAGCCGAAATTCGGTACAGCCCTAATTATAACACAATTAATACTAATAATTTACACATATCCATATAATATGTATATAATACACTGTAATTATAGTGTTATATAACACTATTATTATGAAAGAAGTAGTATCTATCTATACATAAAAGTTCTGTGCAATTACAGTTTTCTTCTTCTCTTCTTGTCCCGTGAACTTCGCAAATTTTCTGTCTCCATTTAATGTCTATATTGACCATTTTTACAAACTTTAACAGCACACTGAGTAGACATTCATATTTCTTTTATGACCTTTTCGCAGTAACTCAAGTCAAGTTATAAAAATAAATGTTTGTTTACCTCCGCTAGGTTTGCGCATGTCATTTAACATGCGTGCGCAGTGCCTAAACTCAAATCAGAGAATCGTGTATTAATAATTTGCTATTTAAAGATATAATTCTTTAAATTGTCCCTTGGTTGTTCAAATATTGTAATAAATAAAATCTTTTTAGTTTCAAGTATTTTCTCTTAGGAATCGTCTATATATTACGTAACGCGAAATTAAACGTAGACAAAAGAAATATCTCAAAAACCGTGTTTCTCTCATGGTCAACTATATGCTGCATTTTCAAGAACTATAGCATTTAATAGTTGTTTTTCAAAATTGATAAACATCTTATTCAAGGTATAGTAGGTAAAAAAATGTATCATAAAAATTGTTATATTTTTTAAAGTTCTTAATTTATAGTCTTTAGATTTTCATTTCGAAAATTTACTGTTAAAGGTTGTGAGCACATTTTGTATGTATAACTTTATTTATCATTATCTTTTTTTTTTCATAGTTTTTGGTAAATATATCTATCATTCAATAGTTGTAAAATGTGTTTATACGTGTTACATAAAGTCATTTGTTTATAGTTATATATATGTTTAAAGTATAAAAGCCAAAACAACAATTTATATCTTAGTTTGATTTTTTTTTTTAGTATTGTTAATGCTTTGGTACTTCGAAACAGGTTTTATAATTACATTTTCGATAAATTTTTAACTGCAATTTCAAAATAGGTTACATTAATTAGGTAAACCGATTTTTGGTAATTGTGTGGTGGTTTCTGTTGGGTTTTTTTTCTTCGTAATTATGATATCATAATTTCATTACTTTTTTATTTTAGAATTACGTTATGACGCACTTATAAGATTTATAAAATAAAAAAACCTGATTTCTTTTTATTGTAAATTTTTGTTAGTTAAAAAGATATAAATATATGCTATTAGTTAATTTTATATTTTATCTATTTTATGCCTAATAATTTGTTATACGTATTTTAAGGGTATCTTTGTAAATGGGGGGTCGTAACTAAAAACCTTTAAAAATATGGAGAATATTGTAGTTTTGCGCATTAATATCGAGTTACCTAAGTTTTATTTATGTGTTTAACTAATTAGTTAGCTTAGTCTGTATTTGCAACACTTTTGAGGAAAGAAAGAAAACATTCTTATATAAGTAGATCATTGTTTTACATTTTATTATTTTATTTTATTCACCTGGCTACCATTAAAGCAAAAAAAGGAAAGGAACCTCTTTATTAGAGTCAAAATATTTAGGAAAATTAAATTTCGAGTTACAAAAGGAATTTTTAGTAAATGGTGGCAAATTACCTAAAAATTTAATGAAATAAAGAGGCCAAACAAATAATATAGAAATGGTCTGTGTTGAACAGACTTAACAAGACTCGGGTCGGGTCAGCTTGCTTTACAAATTTTTATGTCTTCTTATCTCTTATAATTTTTATTTTAGTTTGTCATATGATGCATTAATGTATTAAAAAATTTGTTATACCCATGGTTTGATCGTAAATTAAATTTTTTTTGTTTGAGGTATTTGTACTCAGTTGCGTAGTTATAATAAACTTTGTTATTTTTTATAAATTTATTTAAATGTGTGTATTTAACATTTTTAAGTTAACAGTTTTCTTTTCTAAAGAACAATTAATCAAGGGGATACCAAAAAATTGATAACTCCTGTATAATATAAGTTAACTTCATTTTAATCTTAATGGTTCGTGTTATAAAAATTATTACAAGGGTTTGTTGACACTTTCGTCAATTTAAAGCATGACCAAGTGTTATTATTTTGTGTCAGTAACTAAAACGTATTGTGTTAAACTTAGGAAGGTCGATGAAAATGGTTCTGCCTTACACTGTTATGACCTATGCCATTTGTAAATTACTTAAATAATGTTAAGTAGTAATTGTAAATGTTAATTAGTAGTTGGTAAATTATTTTACCTCCTCATAATTTTTATGTTAATTTTACAGATGGATTAATTTTTTCAAGCTGAAGGCGATTTTCTAAAAGGGTATTAGTTAAGGTTTTGCAAGATTAAATTGTGGAAAACAGCCACTATAAATTAATTATGTAACAGACCGACCAAAACCCGTATTACGGGTTGCCTTTTGCTAGTTGTTCATGATTATTGCCATACTACTTGGAATATCATGCTTATTCCTACCGTTTCGACATTAACCAAATATTCTTATGTAGCATGGACTTTTTGTATTTGTGTATAAATTATGGTTTGTAAAGTTTTAAATTCACCTTCTTTTTTTACGACGAACTCTTATTGGATTTCTCTGTTATTTGAAAAAATTCTGTTAAGCTTATTTCACTTTGATTCTGAAGAAGTTCTTTTACGATTTGACCCCCATTGCCAGGTGATTTTCCATTAATATCTTTTAAATTATACTTTCTGGCCAAAGCTGTGTTTATTTTTTTACCTTCTTTGTAATTTAAAAATTCATTGAGACACTTCTCTTTTTTCCATGTATATCGTTCAGTAGAGCCAACATGACTTTTTTTTCGCTTAACACCCTAAATTAATAAATTTTCAATATATATATATATATATATATATATATATATATATATATATATATATATATATATATATATATATATATATATATATATATATATATATATATATATATTTATATATATAGATATATAGATATATATATATATATAATTTTGGTATTACTTATTGATATTGACATTTATAGAAATTTAATATTTCAAAGTATTATTTATATATGAACTATACCTTTTTCATTTGGTTCTCAGTTTCTATCTTTCTGTGTTCAGCTTCATGATAGGACTCCATACTTGATGAAAGTCTTAACTTGTTTCTTGTTCGGAGTGAAAGATTTGTACCATAAACTCTAAGGTGTTAAATAAGTAAAATATAAATATCTCATAAAAAAGTAAGAAATGAAATATACTCATAAATAATCAAAATTTTAAAATGTATGAAACATGGTTTATTGTTTAACTACTTGTATGTTTCATTTAAGATAATAAAATATGAAGAGTGATATTAAACACTTTAATATAAAAATCTTTTTTTGGTTTATTTACCTTTCAACACTAGTAGCTTTCCATTGATTTTCAATTTTAGATATTGTACTTTTTATTATTAGCTTCTGTGTTTGTTTAATTTCTGATGGATTTGCATATCCAATATCAAGGAGGTCAGCATGTGTTTGCGAAAATGATGTCTTAAATGTTTTATTAAATTGTACATCCAACTTTTTAACTATTTTTTTTGTTACATCTAATAATACCTCTTCTTTTTTTTTGCAGAAGACCCACTGATTTTGCAATTTGTTTGTACTCACTGCTGTTATTTGGAAACTGAGAAAGATTTAACTTTAATTCAATATCCTCTAAACATGCCGGACAATTGTTAAAACAATGCTTCGATTTACTGTTACTAGAAAGCTTATCTCACCTTTCTTCAGAGAGTACACTAAGAACTTGTGCTTTGATAAGCTTACTTTTTTTTCCAATATACCGAACATTTTTTTTTTTTTTTTGACTTACTCAAAAAGAATTTAGACTGAATAATAAAATCAGTATTTGTATTGATAAACTGCCTCGTATATACTTCATATCGGTGCATATTATTTCGCATAGTAAAATTCCGTCCATTCTCATTGAAGGTTGCTTCAAAATTTGGCAGGGTGGATGCATTAAAGGCTGCTATTTTTGCATAACCACATGTTGTTGGATGAATAAATGAGGGCATAGTACCTTTTAATAACACCTTTGAGCACCAAGTAAAAGAAAACTATTTGATTTTTAATGTAGAAATTTATATTTATATAATATATATATATATATATATATATATATATATATATATATATATATATATATATATAATATATATATATATATATATATATATATATATATATATATATATATATATATATATATATATATATATATATATATATATAATTAGTAAATTTAGTAATTATAATTATAAGAAATAATTATAAATATATAATTGTTTAATTGCATTATAATTATCATTTCTCGATTTTTAGACTTGAGCGAAGCATATGACGTAACGCAAAACAAAATTGTTTCAGGCGAATAAACCCAGACCAATGATTTTTTAATTTTTTTTTAAAATCTCTTAAGAACCACGATCGCTTGTCCAGATTCGAAGAAGATTTTAATTGAATAAACGTTTTAGATAAAATGAACATTATAGTTTAAGAATATGATACGTTCTGACCGTTTTTTGTCAGTTTTTCTTAATTATAAGCTCTTTCTTAGTCGGAATTCTTAAAATATTTGTGAAATTTGATAGAAATGTTGTATTTTGACAACTGTATTTAGTTGATATACGTCAGAACCGATTAGTACTAGGATCTATAGTGGGTTAAGACACTTTTTCAAAACATTTTAACTAAATTCGTGCTAACACCGATGAGCGAAAGTGATCTAAAAACTTCAAAATAATGTTCTTTTGATTCACTATTAGGAGTAGTAAAAAGGTTTTGAAAAATATATATAAAAAAGAAATATTTCTTTAAACATTATAAAAACCAAAAGCAAAAAAAAATTATAACATCTAAAGCTCTTGTTTGGACATGATACGCTGACAAAATTATGCAAACTCCAAATAAAAGAATTAAAGGAATTTGTTAATCGCCTTAACTACACCGAGTATGTTTATAATTTTTATTTTGAAACAATCATTGTATTTGTAAATTAAAACACTTTTTACTGATTTAGGAGCATCACAGAAAATACCGTAATTAATAATCAATAATTAATAATCGATACATTAAATTTAAAAACATATATATCTAATACATATTTTGTTTTAAGAAACTTTTGATAAGCCTGAGCATCAAGGTTTATGTAATCAGTAGTATATAATTGTTTTTGTTATTTTTTGAATAGAATATCTAGATGATTTAAATTGAAACAATTTGTTTATATATTTTTGGTCAGTAATTTAGACTTTCATGCTTAGTATTTGATACACATCTCTTCCAAGCCTAAACCAGAGACGATAATACAAATAAAATGAAGGGGATAGAGGGTGAATTCTAAAAATGTACCAACTAGCTACAAAAAAAAAAGGAAGAAAAAAATGTCCTGAAAACGAAAATTTAACCGACTAGCCGACTAAATTCGTAAAAAACCGACTATAACTTGAAAATCACCATATTTGGGAAGGGGGGAGATAACACCTTCCCCCCTCTCACACACACACAAAATCGTCTTTGCCCTAAACTACAAAACACAAACTAAGACAAGGGCACTGCGCCGCCGTAAAGTAAACAAAAAATATATAATGGATCAACAAGACTTTGAGTTTTCTGCTCTTTGATGCAAAAATCTTTGTACTGAAAGAAAATTATCAAGAACTTTTATCTATCACCTTTTTTTATTATTATTTTATTCAAAAATCTCGATATTTTCTAATTACTAAATTTGACCTGATCAACAGATTTCAAATTTCATCATATAAATCTTAAGTGTTTGAATGTTGTGACCATGTAACGTTTCCAAACTCCTGAAAATGAATGACTATAAACTTAACACTTTACAAATTTGAAATCTGTCGGTAAACATTATTTTAATTGTAAATATTTATACTACACAATTTAGTAAATTATAAAAGGGCACAGGTTTTTGGGTTTTGTTGTTTTCAGGCATCAAACTTAGCATTTCTTTTGCTAATTCTCATTATATGTAATAAAAGCATAAACATATACAAGTTTGAAGTTTGCTTTAAAAGTTATTTTTCTCAAACATCAAAAAAGCTGCAATGTGACTAAATGTAACTAAAATATTTAATCAATAATAATTTATTAATTTCTTTAATAAATTTTTGACTAAAGATAAGGAGATAATATCGCTATTTCTGACTAAAGATAAGGAGATGTTCATTAACATCTATTATTTGGTGGTACGGTAAGTGTTTTTATTTAGTTATTTTTATTTTTGTTTGTTCAGGGTAATTAAACTAGTTATAAATGCTGATCCTCATCGAAACGCCAGTAATAATAGACGCGACTCTGAGGGTCAATTATCACATCTTTAATTGTGTTGATAAACTGTTGCTAATCAATGATTTGCAAAATATTTGGAAACAAATTAAGGTGCATAAAAAAATGTGTATTTTTTTTTTGCAAAAATCGACTTTATATTGCTTGTTTGCTAAACGTACAAATGTCCCAAAATCTGCTGTCATAGATATTATAAACAATTTCAAGACTTCTTAAAACTTCAAAAGAAAACCTGGAAGTGGAAGAAAGAAAACATTCCATAAATGCAAAAAGGTAAAGCCGATTCTCAGTTTAATAGTAATTCAAGACTTCGCGTTCTTAAATTAAAAAAGTACTTTAAAATGCTGGAGTTCAAGCATTTTATAAGAAATATACACCTAAGAGAAGTTTAAATGATGAATCAAAGTTACATATATGAGGCAAAAGAAATTTGCATCCAAGTTGCTTGTGTGGCAAGCTATATGTAGCTGTGGTATGCAATCTTCTTTCTTTGTCACTAAGAAGACCTTGACTGTACACCAAAAAATGCTTCAAAAAAAGATTTTTGTCATTTATGAAAAAACATGCAGTTGGAGTAACAAAAAACAAAAAGGACTTGAAAAAAGTGATTTAATGCCACCAATAAGGTGAAAATAAAAAATTTTGCGAAACGATGGCATCAAACCACTTTACAATTCGATCTCTTGCTAAACAGTTCATTAAGCCCTTTAAAATTAAATTGAAACCCTAATTAATGTAAACACATTTAATATAAAAATAAATTGAATTAAAAAGCATTTATGGTTTTAGAGAAATCTCAATTTAAAGTTGACCTGATTTTTTCGTTCACCGGATATTGTTTTTATCTTTTAGTCAATAATTTTAGTTTTTTTATAGCTTTTTCCAAGTAAGGTTTGTCTGTCTTTTCGCTTTTTGTCCTCACTTGTAACACAACCTCTTGTTATTTCATCTGATGGACTCACTCGGTCATTTCAATGTACTGCATATTTCTTATCATTAAAGGAATCTTTAAATGACGAGTGCAAACTATCTAGAGATATTGTTTGCTGAACTTTTAATCTTTGGATTTTTCAAAGTTTTCACAACCATAATCAGCAAAAAGTTTAGGATTTCAAGCGTCATAATATCAAACTGATATCTGCATATGCAGATGCAAGTTTGATATTTTTATGTAAAAGTGTAGAGTTTTATCAAATTTATATAATGTTCGTAAAGAAGTCAGAGTTTTGATGTTTTAAATTTTGTTGAATGTCAATGAAAAAACTAAAGGTAGTGATAGCAAAGAGCATAAAGTTAAATCTAAAATAACTTTGATCTTGGGGTCTCTATACTCCATAACTGGATACGTTGCTAAGAATAAAGAGCTCAAGCCCAACTTTTAATTGGTTTTAAAATTAAATTGTTCAAACTCCAAACATATATGTTGGAATATATATGTTTAAAATATTACAATCTACGATTAGCTAAACATATATGTTTAGCTAATCGTACATTGTAATTATTTTTTGTATTTTAAAATTCTGGAATTGTTTCACTATATTAAGCTTACTAAAATTTTAATTGAAAAACTAGGGCTGCTTTTAGATGTTACCAGAATATTACGAGAAAAATTTTAATAATTTAAAATAGAATGATAATTTTGTATTTTTTAGACTTAATTATTTTTTGGCCTATTTTATATTTTTTTTATTACAGACTACGCAATTGTTGTCAAGACATTCGGCTTGGATGTAAAGCCGTTGATTATGAATTTTAATTCTGTGTTTTGACTTAAAAATTCAATTTTGATTTATTTGATCAAATATTATGACTTGTAATACTTGCATCAGTTTGTGCATAAATCACTAATTCAAAGCTATCAAGTAATAAAAACCAAAACCAATTGAAATGTTTTCTGAAGAAGGGAGAGAGGAAGTCTGAAAGGGGAGTCCTCAAATTAAAAATATATAAAGCCTTTTATAGTGTCTTTTGAGACAAAAATCTCAAAAAAAGACAACAATTTTGGATTTGTTATCCAGGTTCTTTTTTTTAAGTTGGAGCTCCCATATACATTTTAGAATTTTTTTCATAATTATGTTTATTCGTTAAATAATATTTAGAAATATTTTTAAAGTAAAAAATGTATGTCAAAAATATTAACTCGAAAATCACCCATTTCAAGTTTATATGTTTAAAATAATTATAAATGAAAATTTTGTTATTGTGAATTAAAAACTCATTGAAAAGATTGAGAATCAATTATTATTATTTTTTTAATTAATGTTCAATTTTAATGATAAAATTGTTTAATTTTAAAAATCATCATGCATATTGGAGGTTTATAAATTGATTTTAAATTTTTTATTATTCAAATATTTAGTTTTCTTAATGAATATTAATTGAATTATTTTCTAAATAAATTTGGATGGTGACACTAATCATAAAGTTGGATCACATCTTCTCTTTCAGTCCTCATGTTTAAAAAACGTATTTTAATAAACATACATGGCGAAAATGTCAATTTGTTTAGAACGATTTTAAAATTTTTATTTGACTTTAGTAATTTATTTAAATAGGTGCAATATAAAAAATATATATTGTGCTCTTTTTTGATTCATTCTAATTTTGTCTTTTTTTAAATTCTTTTTATGTTTCATATGTTTTTCGTTAGCTAAATTAAAAGTTTGTAATGACTATAAACTTAATTGTCATTACAAACTTTTATTTTAGCAAACGACAAAACTTGCTTTATAAAAAACTTTATTATATTTATTATTTTTTATTTACTTTATTAAATATTATTATATTACTTTATATAGTCGTTTGCTAAAATAAAAGTTTATATACCTTTATAAACTTTATTAAATAAAGTATATAACAAAATACTTTATAATATTAATTATTATAATTATTATAATATTACAATAATATATTATTATATTATAATGTAATAATAAATATGTCAATTGATATATGTACTGAAACCGCACAGCTACCTATTTCAGTATTACCTAATCAGAATGTATCTAACCCTGTAATATTAATATATTTATGTATGTATGTATATGTATATATATTAATATAATGCTGTAATATTAATATATTTATCTATGCATGTATATGTATATATATATATATATATATATATATATATATATATATATATATATATATATATATATATATATATATATATATAAATATATATATATATATATATATATATATATATATATATATTCAATATATCTTTATTTATTTATTTATTTATATATACATATGTATACTTATATACTTAATAAATTTATTCTTAAAGATTATAAGAATGGCTGTTACTTCTGCTGTGTCCTACAACAACAATGATGGAATGCAAGCTCTTTCTATTGGTCATTCTATATATCCTACAAGTTCTGTCAGTTCTAGTACTGCACAATCTGTTGTTTCTTTTATTGCAGGCCATTTCGGAAAAAAGTAAGAAAAGATAAATTTAATATATATATATATATATATATATATATATATATATATATATATATATATATATATATATATATATATATATATATATATATATATAATGTATTATTTTTTTAATATAAATAACATAGTATAAGTCTTTATTGCATAATGTATGTTTGTTGTTGTTTATCAATATCATCAGTATAATTAAAACTTACAAATTTCTTTATAAATGTATTTATTTTACTAAAATAAAAATTATGTTTAAGTAACATATTATTAATGATTCACCAAATGCTTAGATTTACTTTATATAAATAAAATAATTCGTTATTGAAATTAAAAATAAGTGAATATGTTTAAAAAAGCATCAGTATAAAAGTTTTAGTAAATGTAATTAATAGGGTGTTCCTTAAAACAACATTTTTGAAAATAATCTGCTCTCACCCCCTAAATGTGTTCTACATAATTCAAAAACACTAGGTTTAAATTTTTTTTGAATAAAAAATATTTTAGGGAGTTCCCTAAAACCCTCGAATATTTAATAGGTCCCTAATATTTTCAAAAAAAAGTTTCTCAAAAATATATCAACCTGGTACTCAAATAAAGCGAAATTATATAAAAATTTCAAAAATAATATCCATTTTAATAAAAATGTTTTTTGTTTAGATAAAAATTGGTTTTATTACAAAAAAAATTGTTTTATTCAACAAAAAATAAAAAAAATACATTTTTTTATGTTTTTTTATGACAATTTTGATATGTTATAATTTTTTCGAAATAAATGTCATTTTTAAAATTTTTATATAATTTTGTTTCATTTGAGTACCAGGTTGACATATTTTTGAAAACTTTTTTTTTGAAAATATTAGTGACCCCCATTAAATATTAGAGGGTCTTGGGAAACCCCTTAAAATATTTTTTATATTAAAAAAAAAATTAAACTTAGTGTTTTTGTATTAGATAGAACACTTTTAGGGGATGAGAGCAGACTATTTTCAAAAATGTTGTTTTAAGGGATCATTAAAACAATGTGATAAGAAAATGTATAGGTAATTGGCAATCACACACAAAAAAATTTGTTGCAAAAGATGATATGAATGCCATTTGAAATTTCAATTATATTCAAATGTATTTAAGCTGTTGAAAGTTAAAAGCAACATGTATTTATGTATGCTAGAAATGTTTGCTTACATTAATACTTTGGACATAAAGCTTACTCTTAGATTAATAAAAAAGTACTGTATGATTCAAGTACCTAATAAAAATTTATGAATTGATCCACATTCAGAACTATAGTTTTGTAGCAATTTAGTAAGTCGCAAAGTTTAAAAAGGTTTTTAAACTACTGCAACTTAAAAAATGCTTTTAAATACCAATGACAAATAAAATAAGTTTAATGAGATTTATAGAGGTAGAGAATCAAAAAAATCACAAGTACAATTCACATAAGTAACCTTTGCAGATGACAAATTTTCAATCGGTTTTATATATGGTTTTCATAAGAGATTAATAGTAAATGATAATTCCAAATTGCTAATTAAAAAGTTGTTACTTATTAAGCTAGAAAAATGTTCATTAAATTTTAAATTTAGATGAGTTTTAAGATGTATAATGCTCATTTTTTTATTGCGCCTTGCTTAATCTCTGTTCATAACTTATTTTAGAGGCAATAGACAACAACATTATATTAACATGCTTGAGTTTTAGTCTTTTGTCCTATAAAGTTAGTCTAAATATACTAAACAAATATTCCACTGCAGAATTCAAACTAAATGAATCCCGGAAGACTATAAGTACAAATTTTTTTTCCTTGTTATTATCATTAGATATACAAAAACTCAGAATTTTTTTCATTCATTTAAAACACTTTTTTTTTCAATTATAACATTTAATTTATAAACCCAACTCAAACCTAGCTCAAATTGTGGTTTCTAAAATGACATGAATAATTATCTACATGATAACTATAAAGTTATCATGTAGGTAGTCATGTCATTTTATAAACTGCTGGTCATGGTTATGAAAGTTAAATAGAATCAGATAAAATTTAAAGAGAAGTTAATTTTTATATGCAAACATTAAAATAGATTTTTCAGCAACTGAATAAAAATTTTAATATGATGTAAATGAATAAAGCATAAAAAATATTATTTGAAAATAAAGTATTTGTATAAGAAATTATTATTCATTTTAAGTATTGATGTAGATTTTATTTTGTGTTACATTTTGTTGAGGCAAGAGTACTACATGAATATTCAGTACTTTAATGTCATTATAAGTTCTTAATATTTAAAAATTTTTGTTGCTTAATTTAAAAAACAATATTTTATTCTTTTTTCTTTAATTTTAAAAAAACAAAAAGTTAATAAAACTTGAAAAAATCAACAGCTATTAAGCTTAACAACATGTTAACTTTTAATTTATATTAAACTTTTTATAAGTTTTATAGATAATAGTTTTTTAATTTTCAGTTAGTTAAAGATGCGTAATACTCTGTAATTTCTCAAACCAAGTGATATTTTTGCATTACTTTAAATAAAATTTTTGGTTCATTAAAAAAAAAAAGAAAACCTTGTTTAAGATTTCCATTATCTCAAATATTACTAATACTTAACAAGGAACATATGCTTGACTTGTTTCTCTGCACAGCACCATTGTTCATCAAGGAACTTGTTTTAGAGTTAAAGAGTTGAGAGAGTATTATAACCACAATAAAAAAAAATAAAAAACCAAAAAAAGGTTAAAAAACCCCAAAAAAAGTCTGTAGGTGGCCCCTTTGGCCTTGGAGAGGTGAATAACATTACAGAAAGAGTTAAAAGCATGCAAACAAATAATTTTTATTAGCAACTTTAGGAGTAAAAATGTTTTGTTGAAATTCTGCTACAACTTGTGAGGTGGTTAATTTAGTTGAACAAAAAAATCTTCATGCCATCCTCTTTTTTTGCTATGCTGAGAAAACAAATAATATCCCCTTTTATATTGGATGAACATTTCTATAGGAAAAAATGTTTACATATATAGTCTTTTGATATTTTTACGAGTCGATTCATAAAATATATCTTAACAGCTCATTTTGCTAGCTAATTAATGCAATCTATTAATACCAACCAAGGTTGATAACCATCTTAACAAGATTTCTTGTCTATTTTAACACTAGCACCATGGGCAACTGATCAACTTTTTCTAATTTTTCCCTAAATGGAAAAAACTAGAAAATGCTGATTGTTTTTTCATCAGTCTTAAAAAATTAGCAATTGAAATATAACTTTAAATCGAAAGACAAAAAATTGTTTTACATTATGTAATATATTATAATGCTTATGCGAAATACAATCGATTGCCTTTTGTGTCTAGCTATAGTTCAAACAAAATGACTAAGAAATATGACTAGGAAATTTAATAACTTATACAAACTTTTTTGACATCATTTTAAAATACTTCCTGTTTAAAAAACTATGTTGTATTTAAAAAACTGTTTAAAAAACTAGGTTGTATTTAAAATACTCTTATAAAGTAATAATAAAATAATAGTTTATTATTGATTACCTTAAAGTAATAGTTTGTTATTGATTACCTTACCTGATAATAATGGTACATACCATTATTATCAGGTATGTTGGTTACAAAATTATTTTTAACTATATTTTGTTTTTAACTATAATTTTCAGTGTTTGTAAAAGCACAAATGGAAAACTGCATATGCAGTTTTCCATTTGTACTTTTACAAATACCGCAATTTGATTAAGGACTAAAGTAGAATTGAGAACCTCTTTGTTATATTTTATGTTTTAAGCTTTTGTTATGCATCTTGATTAGCTTTCTGTTTTTGCAGATGTACAAGTGACTAGCCCGCATCTTAAACCAAATAAAATTATTATTTCAATTCCTTAAAAATAGTCCAAAGTTTTGTCATAAGTTTTAATATGTATAATATAAGGTTTGTTGATTTATTATTTTAATTTTAGACATGATGATTTGAAAGTAATGCTTGATAGTTCTAACAACTCCCAAAAATTGGAAGCAATGAAAAGAATTATTGGGGTGGGTATTTATCACTTTAATATAAAAATATGTCTTCACATTGAGCCAATAATTTGTATTGTTATAATAAGTCAAACTTTTTTTTCGAATCAGATGATGGCTACTGGAAAAGATGTATCTGAATTGTTTGCTGCAGTTGTTAAAAATGTTGTCTGCAAAAATATTGAGGTATTTTAATGTTAAAATAAATTTCAACTTTTGGAAAATAACATGAGTTGTTGCCATATATATGCTGCATATATATGCTATATATGCTATATATGCTGCATATATATGCTATATATGCTATATATGCTGCATATATAAATGCTAGATATTGCATATATATGCTGCATATAATATGCTGTAACTTGTTTAATATACTGTAGCTTGTATAATTATAAATTTGTATAATTTGTGCAGTCTTAATATGATTTTTTTGAGTTTTTGTACAAACCTTGAATTAAAATAGTGTGGTGACTTTCACATCCACTTTAATGGAGATAGAACTATAAAATATGGAGATACCTTTTTTTTCAAACTAATTTACTCCTAACTAGATTGCAAGTAATTTTTTATGTTTTTTAAGTTTTTAACTATTTAGTTGGAAGTTACTAGAAAATAAATAAAGTATGATATGTATGTGTTGTTATCGTTTTCGAAAACAAATAATACTGATAAAGTACAGTTTTGATAAAACTATTGATAAATAGCAAGGAAAAAGTTTTACTTTGTATAAGTCTGGAAAACATGAAGATGGGACAGAGTTCCAATGCATTGATGTACAAAGAAAGAAACTAGGTGAATAAAATTTTTTAAATCAGATTTATATAAATCAGACAGATACAGTAAAAAGATGTGACTTTGCTGAATGATGGTTCTAGCAAAAATGGGTTTTGGTTATAATAGTATTACTTAAAAAAAAGAAAGAGATGCAACCTTATGACGATAGGGCAGTGGCTCAAGCATGTCAGTTAGAACAGGTTCAAATACATTTACAGTGCATTTTTTGAGCTTTTCTAGATGATAAAGAGTATCATAAGAAGAGCCAGCTCAAGTATGACCACACTATGACCACAGTGCGATTAAGTATGATCACAGTAATTCATACAGAGAAGAGTAAGATATTTGTATATGTAACGAATTGAATTAGGGACAAGAAAGTGGCAAGTTTGATAAAAAGTGATAACCCAAGCAGATGCTATCTTTGCAATGGATTGTATATATATTTCTTTAAGAGCTCAGTAGTGAATGATAATCCAAGAAGACATAAAGAGAGAACAGATTCAAGGTTGGCTGCCTGTTTTAAGAAATTGAAAATTGATAACTTTTTGTTAAGATATATAAAGTTGAGCAGATTAATAAATAGAGTGTAAAATTACTAGGAAGATTATTAATGTAAAATAAAAAACAATATAGCATCAAGGATAGAACCTTGTACCGCCCTAGAAGGTACTGCAAGGTTCTATCCTTGGTTCTGTATTGTCGCCTTATCTAATGCACAATAGAATCTTTCAGTTACTAAAGTTAAAGGTTGGGTTAAGTAAAAAAGATTAGAATGAACTACAAAGTTGATTTTTTTTATTGAACACTTTTAAGTTTATAACAAAAATAAATAAAGAAAATAATTAAGTTTCTTTTGTGCGATAAAATTTTCTAATTTTTCTCTTGATGGGAGTCATAAGATTTTGCAATAAGTGAGATCCATACTCTGTGGTGGTTTTATCCCACGTCTTCTTAAAGTCATTATTTGATTTCGTTTGCCTAAACTTCTTATGCAATTTTACTTTAATAATCGCCCAATATTGCTCAATTGGATGAAGTTCAGGACAATTAGCAGGATTGTGTGTTCTAGATATGAAATCAATACTATTGTCATTGTAAAAGTTTAACATGGATTTGGAGTAATGACAAGATGCTAGGTCAGGCCAAAAGATTGCATTACTATCGTGGGTGTTCCACAGTGGCAATAAGTGCTTTTTAAGGCATTCATTTTGATAGATTTCACTATTTATTGTGGAATTAATGATGAAAATTTGTGTTTTTCATCCACATTTACATATGACTTGCCTAACCATAATTTTTTTTGGGGATTTTTTTAGTTTTATTGTTTTACATTTAGCCTTTACCTTTTTCCTGGAGACTCCTATATAAAAATGATGTCCTGGAATCGTTTTGAAATTTAATTCACATAAGTTTCATCATCCATAGTTGTACATTTTTTTTCCTACACAATAGTTTGTATAATCTTCCTGCACAATTTTTTGCCACTAAATTTTCTTCAGCATTGCAATCTGGGGCTTTATACATCTTGAAGGACTTGATTTTATACTTTTTCTTGTCCGAACCATTTGTCTGCTAGTTTTGCATTTTAGTGCCAAATCTTGCTCAGAAATGATAGGGTTTGCCATTTTTTTTTTTGACACTTTCCTATTTTGAGGGTTCCGACCCGGTTCATTGAAGTGTGGATATATTATATTGTGGGTATACTGGCAAATGATGTAAGTCAAAAATTGGCAGTTTTTAGTTAATGTTGCAATATTGTAAAGTTTATAACACTCTACAAACTGACAAAATACAAGTCAAATTAAACATCATAAAAAATGTTTAAATGTATCTTTATAACCAGAGAAAAGCCTTTCTCTGATTATAAAATTACATTTAAAGTTAACTCGTAAAACGGTTGTGTTTATTTAGGCTAAAAGCTTTTTAATTAAAGAATAAATAAAAGCTATAAATGTCTTCTTTATTTCTTTCTTCATTATGGTGTATTTAAATATCAACAACAAATACAATTTAATAAGATTATAAAAGTTTCAAATTCGAAGAAAACTTAAATGATTGATTTCTCTTAACAAGGATATTTGAGTTAATGCTTTTTGCCATAATACTTACAATATGTTGTGGGTATTCTGAAAAAAAACTCTACGTTGTGAGCATTTTTTGTTAATTTATGACTTGACTGTGTCACAGCACACATTATTTGTTGACTGTTACATCAATTTGATTAAAATATAGTTATTTATAAATGTATCATACTCTTCAAACCATTCAAAAAGATTACAAAAATAACCAGCTCAGGTATTTGCATTTTAGAGGCAATATCAGAAGCTGATATAGATAGATTTTCAATACAACCTAAACTTAAAATATCATTTAACTTTATTGGAAATATCAGATATGTGGTTGCGATAAAATGATGTGATAAATCCTTCTCAGTGAATGGCTGCTTGACACTGATGAACCATCATTGGCAAATAGTAGTGCCGGTGACAATTCAGTTCTACTTTGTAAAAAAATAAATGTAAATGAAAACAATCAATATAATCTCTATGGAAAATTGCACACATATGAAGATATGAGAAAGAATAATTCCGATTTTTTTACTACTTATATATGGTTATAAGATACGAACCTTGATGAACAAGGCTGCTGCGCGGAGAAACGAGTTGATTGCAGTACTACCAGGGACGTGGTAGAGATCAAACTCAGAACCTTTCGCTTATGAAGCGAGCGCTCAGTCACTACACCACTACCGCATTGCAAATGATGTTAATTTTTACATAAAACCGTTTGCTTAAATTGGACAGCAAACTCTTACAAGTGTTGGTCAGCAAATGCAAAACATCTAACAGAACTTGCTAAAAAAATTTTATTAGTTGCTATTAGCAGTGTACATAGTGAAAGACTATTTTAGGAAGTATGACATCTTTAACTAAAACTATTACTTATTTTTTGTTTACTCATTAAATTTTATCTAACTCATAGCATATAATGCTAGTTATTTAGGCTCTTAGCGGTGCTCTGTAGTAAGACCATATCAACTTCTAGGAGCACCTTAATAACTGCATAAAAAAATGGAAAACAATTATACCTAATCAAACAATAAAATAATTCTTTTGTTTACTTAATGCTTTTGATTTTCATAAATACTTTACTCTCATACAGGTCCGCTTCAAGCTGGCTCAGCGCAAAATGGCTGGGGCAAATTAAGTTGCGAAGCTCCAAACTCTAAATGTTTTCTATATAATCACATTGTAAATGTGATTGTATAATTCATTCCTTAAATACTTGCTATATATCAAAACCTTTCTGGGAAAATCTGTCCAATTGTCGGAGTGGCCGTTCTCTTATATTGTTTTGCTCCATTAACATTTGAATGATATGATGTTAAAAAATAGAAAGCGAAAAGAATTTTTTTTTTAAATATATTATTTTTATAAAAATATATTTAAAAAAAAAAAAATTACCATATTTTGACTAAATAAACTTTTAGTCGACTTTTAAAAATGTATTAGTTGATTTTAGTTGACAGTCAATTTATTTAATAGTTATAACAACACTATTTTTTATAAAGAAAATTTAAAAGAGATTTTTAAAGCTAAAATATATTTTTGAAATTTATAAAAAACATCTGACAAAAAATAAAACAAAAGTGCAGTTGTACGCCTTGTTTGTTAACGCTTAAAGTAGTTTTTTTAGACAACTTGGCCATGTTTTTATATCGTAAGCATTTTAAGAATTTGAGGCAAAATAAAGCTATAAGAAACTATAGACAATAAAGTAACAATACTTGAACCAAAGACTATATGAAATAGAAAATCTAAATATAATAAGCTATAAAAAAAGAAAATTGTTGTCAAAAAAACAATATACCTAATATATATATATGTTTTATTGTTTTTGTTTTTTTATTTTAAGAGCATTTGTTATTTTCCACTACGAAAATTGATACAAATCAAGGAAAAAAGTAGAATATAACAAAAATAAAATATTTTTTGATGTACAATTTTTTTTGAGACTTTTTTCAGTCAGTATATTAAGGAAATACTTTTTAATTTGCGCTAGAAACATGGACAATTTTAAAATTATTTTTTCAAATGTTTTTACAAGCTTTACTGTTTTTATCAATACACAGGAGTTTGAGAAAACTAGTTGTTATTTATTTGTGAAAAAAATTTTTTCAACAAATTTTTAACAAGTAAAAAAATAAAAAGTCATTAATACTAATACTTAAATAAAAAATATTTGATTGTTTTCAATACCCCTATTGAAATTGTCTGCACTTTTGTAGGATTATCCAAATTGTGCATTCAAATCCAATAGTTTACTTCCTGATGAACTATTGTTATTGACGATGCTCCAAAAGCTTGTGAGCTAGTGCATTGTTACTTCACTGAACTTTTTGA